CGATTTAGATATATAAATAGAAATTATATTATACATATATGAAAATTTATATGTAAGATGACTATTATTATCATTTTGTGAGTTACTTTTGATTTTTTGTTGTTGGTATGAATATATGATTATTTCCATATAATAATCATCACTGGGATAGTCACAAAAAATCGACATTTTCAATAAATATTCCGGTAATGATATGATTTATTTATATACTTATATTTAATTTATTAATTCATACTTTATTTGAGGATAAAGTTTACTTTTTTATTTAAATTTTGGTGTTTTGTTTAGATATAATTTGTGAAACCTTTACAAACTTTTTTTTCTCTCATTAAATGTGATCTTTACTTACTGTATATATTAACATATTGTTGACATTTGGCTCAATGTTAACATAAAATCTTAGAAAATATTTTTCACTGTATTTAATTAATGCTAAGTAATCACTCATTAATATTGAATATACAGTATATAAATTTATATATCACAAGTAATCTTAATATTAACATGTTATCAAATTGTATGTAATAAATTAATTAAACTTAAATTATTTTGATAATTTCCAGCAAAAAATGTTTTGAAATAAAAACAATCAATATGAAACTATGTTAAATTTTTTGTTTTTTAAATAATATTAAATTGGTTACCATAACTAGTCAATGTAATGCAATCTAACATATGTTATACGGCTATAATATTAATTAAATATATAGATTTATATGTTGTCTATCACTTTAATATCAGTTTATTCACTTAATATAATATAATATATTAATACTTATAAGACAATGTTTTGCTCAGTCATTTCTATGGTATTTTTATTTTGTTGTTTTTTAATGCCATTGTCTTCAAACAAACCGTTAATTTGATGAACACATCCATCGCTAATGAAGACATTGATATTGACATTAACTTATTTTTTATGTTTTATTTTTTAAAAAGTCATATATGAATGAACTCCGAGTGTAAATAATGGGGAATGACATCTCATTATAAATATTGACTTATATTTTTWTATATATAAATATTGTATAACTCGTACATTACCTCATAATTTACAATATTGTAAAATAAACAGAATATTCTATAATTTTTGTTTCGTAGTATATTTTTGCGAAATATTATTTTTTGATAACAAATTTAATCAAAATATTTAAAGATTAAATAGTTAAATAAAATATTTTTTTTATAAAACATATAAATAACTACAGTATAATAAAATTATTGGTATCTACAATAAACTAATACTTTGTTATTTTTTTTGGTTGCGTGAACAGCGATACACAAATAGATATTGAAAGTTGTGTACAGTATATATAAAAAAATATTATATACAGTATTTTAGTGATAACATAAAAATCTAGTGATTTATTAGTGTTTGAATTATTTGACTCTACTATTGACATATCGGTCACATTTTACGAATGACTTACAAAAATAGTATATCGTTTATATATAAATAAATAAATATATATATATCATATATACTGTACTAAAGATAATGTAGATTTTGTATATAAATATTTAAATGTTTTTTTAAAAACAATTTGTGTTATTATTAAAAAAAATATGTATAATACAAAATAACTTTTTAGTTAATAAACTGTATTGCTATTGGTTAAAAGAAATTGTTAATTGATTATTTTTAATATATTTAAAATAAATACATTATGTAATGTGTAATATATTTATAGATATTTATACAGTATTTTTGTTTGAAGACTTATTCCTTATTGAATTAATGATAATAAACAAACATTTTTTTGTCGCTTCATTTATGCTATTTTTATTTTATCTTTTTTTTGTCAAAACAAAAATAATGATTGTCAATTGTGTATTAATTATATAAATACAGTGCTATAACGGTAATAGTTTGCAACTATAAGATCATTTGTAAACTACTGTTTTTTATGACAACTTTCCTCATTGAACAGTACAGTACAATACAGTAGTATGTATTCATTTATATTGATGTCAGCAAATATATTGTATTGAATTTACTTAGACTTTTAAACTAAAAAATAAATAAAGTAACAAATTGTCATTGAATTAGATTATAATCATTTTGTTTAAAAAATATAAATCACTTGTTAACTTCCTAAATAAAATATATAAAATATGATTAATATATAGTATAATAATATAGTATATATATATATATACTTAAATAGATTATACAATATCTTTATATTTAGAATAATATATATTTTTGAAAAAAATGATAATTTATACAGAATAAATTTTTAAATAAATAAGATAAATCATAAAAATTTATTATTGTTGGACATATAGAAGTTTTTATTTAAAAAACTACGAGAAAATTTATAGTGAATTTCCATCATAATTGTGAAATACTATTATAATATATTAAATTTTATTATAACAAATAAAATCAATTTTTAACAAAAAAAAATTCTCGAAAGTTTTTTATCAAAAATTTCTATAAATTATCCATTTTGTTCAACACTTAAATTTTATACTTATTATATTTAGTAAATAATAAATACACTTGTTATACATATTTTATTTACAATATAATAAAATAAATTTAAAAATTGTCTTTCATTTTAAACCTTAAGTTATAGACAACTTAAATAATAAAATTTTGACAAATAATATGTATTTTATTTTGAAAAAATGTTTTTTATAAGCATTTAAGTTTGATATTTTCTAGAAAGTTGATTTTATGTTAAAATTTGTTAACATTTACATATTGACCATTACATAKATTAAGTTATGCCTAAATCATAAAATTTATATTTAGTCTCAATTGAAGAAAACTATGTATTTTTACAAAACGGAAAATTGCTTCAAATATAAGTAATATACAGTAGAAGTTAAAAGTTGCTAAATATACTCTATATTACATTTATTTTTAACAAAAAGTTTAAGTAATATACAGTAAATGATATTTTGAATTTATTGTTGTTGTTATAATTTATATTTTATCAATAGGTTTAAAAAGGTATGAAATTGTAAATTTTATTTTTATTTAAATTAATTGTATTCTTAATTTAAAATAGCATTTAATGGATTTTTAAGTATATAAATAAAATTTGTATATATTTTTATAAGTTTTTATATAATATAGAAAATTTAATTTATAAGTTTTTAAAATATTATAATTGATATCTATGAATATTATACTTTTTGAAAATTTTATGTAAATATTAGTTTTTAATTAGAGTTAAGTAAATTGATTGATATATTAGAAAATATTTTCTGTTAAATAAAAATGTCTATTTTAGAGCAAAATTGAAAATTACATTTGAGAGTCTATTAAAAAATTAATTAAAAAAATTAGGTAAACATGTGTACGCTATTCAATTTTTATAAATTATAAAAATTATATCTGAGTTACAAATTGTAAATTACAATAGATAAAATAATTTTTATATTTATATAATATAACTATTACTAATTGACATTTAATTAATTATATATAATTATTATTTGTATGTATATTATAATTAATGTTAGAATACTTGTTAATGTAATTTATTAATGTCGGATTTTATTTAAATTACTAAATAATTTATAAATTATACTTTAAATTATAAAATATTATAGTTTAAAAGTCTATTATTGTAATAATGTATTAATTTAATAATTTTATTTGTAATCTCTAAGCTTTTATTAGCTTGAAATGTTTTAAAAATATTTTAATTATAAAGTTTAAAAAACTAAATGTAAATAAGATATGTTTTACAATATATAAATAGAAATTATATTATTTCTAAATTGATTATATTGTATGTAAGTTAAATTATTTGCTTAAAACTATACAATAAATTTAATTAATAATGTTATTCATTTTTAATTAAAATGTCTAATAATACAACAAAAATGTAATATTTTCAAAAATTATGTCAATAGATAATCGGCTCTTATGATAATTTGATGATATTATTAAACTAAGTTTATATTATCGTATTATTATATAATCTTTTATGAATATCAAAAAATTGTTTTTTTTAATATTTGATATCCTGTTTAATTTTATATAGTTTTTTAAAAGTACAAAATTAAAATTTTTTACTTTAAGTTATATTATTAGTATTTAATATAATATTAGAAAATATAATTAAAAAATTCTAAAAAATGTTTTATTTATTTTAAAAATAAAAACRATAGTTAAACTTTTAACATAAAAACATATAAAACTTATGTCATCAGATAATAATGATTTTGATATTAAATATCATTTGTTTCTTTTATGAAATATTTGTTTTATAATAATTTTTAAAAAGTTTGAATTTATAGAATAATAACACTAATAATTTAAAATATTGATAAAGTTATATAAACATTTGATTTATAATAAAAACAAAGGTTTTATATTCAATAGTTTTATTTTAAATAATAGATAAAATAAATATAAAACTATTTGTCTAAATATTAAAAATATATCATTATTTTTATAAATGTTAAAAATTTTAGTATGTTTAGAAACCAGTAAAATAAATTGTTAATTTAAATAAAAATATTATACAGTAATAATTAAACAATAATGTACTGTATATTTACTGTATTAGTTCTACAATGTTTATTACATTTATATTTTTATTGCAAAATCGCACATTATTACGTCTAATAAATTATTTYATAAAATAACGATAGCTTTCAGCAATTTAGTATTTTTTTAATATAAATATACTGTATAATTAATTATTATTAATTAATTTTTTATCGATATAATTATTATCAAATAATTTTTGAGCGCCACTGTAATGTAATAAAAATAGGTTTATTCCAATATTTATTAATAAAATAATAATTCTATCAAATAACTTACAAATTAATTAAATAATTGTTTTTGTCATCAGTTATTATCAACATATAGTATTAACAAAATGATGACATAACATAAATAAAATATATTATAATTATGAATCATTAATATTTAACAGTAATTATTCCAATACAACAAATAAGATTTATTATTAATATTGTACTAATAGTGTATTTTTATTTTTTTATATTTCAGATATCATCGCAATTATGTTTAACACATTTATTGTTATACTAATTATATCGAAAGTCACAAAATGTGGTATAAAATATATATATATATTGATTTATTTAAATTATCGTTTTTAAATATCTAGCATATAAATTATTGATAATGTTGATAAATTATTATCTGGGAATTTTTTAAAAATATATTAGCTGGTATAAAAATGACTGGCGAGTCTACAATGATGGCCCCATGTGGTCCGGGTTATTTTTTATGTAATAACTCAACCATTTGTTTGAAACGTGATTTCCAATGTAATAACAATAAGGACTGTCCCGACGGATCTGATGAACTCAATTGYGGTAAATATATGACACATGAGACACATTTAGCATAAATAACAACAAAAGAAAAGTTAAAATGTTTAATAAGAAAACAAGAATTTCAAACAAACAAAATATGTTATTATTATTTATATTTTAATATTATTTATACTGTATTATGTGTACTGTATAAACCTTATATTAGTTAATTAATTTATACAAATATTTCATACTATTAATATATAGGTTTCCATACATTAAATATATTTTCTGTTATACATTGTTATACAGTACAGTCTAATTTTATTTTTTATATAATTAATCTTATTTTATATTTACAAAAAAAAGTTAACACCATATTATGTTATCCAACAGAGAATTCATTATTCTGTATTATATATTGTAAATGTTTTTTCTTATTTATTCTGCAATATATAAGTACTGTATATACCGTTTAAATCTGTATTACATGTTATACATGTTTAAATAGGATTCTTTATGGATTTTATTTTACTAAATTAATTTTTTAAAAATATTGAGTAAAATAGTTGTTTTTTTGATGACATTAGACCATCAGTTGATAGTATTATTAATTTAGTTGTAAAAACAAAATTACTATACATAAATATAATAATTAATTAAAATATTTTTGAATATATAATTAATATGTGTATAAATTAACAATTCATTACACAAAAAAAATTTTTTTTGATTGTTTTGTGCAGAAGATGAACACAAGAAACGGTTTTACAATGAATTATTTCGTAAGCGACCGGACGAGGACCGGGAGAAACGCAAACAAGAGGGCTGTCAACTCAATTACATTCCCGATGTCTGCAACTGTTCGACTTGGAGTCTGTTCTGTGAACACCAGAATCTAATTCGGGTGCCGCCAGACCTGCCATCAGATATCAAAGATCTGTATGTCTAATATCTTATGCATAATACTACTGTATATTGAAATATTCAATATTATATATCTATACAGTATATTGTTTTCAATCAAATATTAATTTTGTATTAAATTTTACATTCAAAACCCAATGTGCAGTGATTTATCGGGAAATAATTTAACGCAGTTGTCGGCAAAAAGTTTTCCCAAGACATACACAAATTTAAGCCGATTGTAAGTCAATCAAACTATATATCTATTTTATTATAGTCAAAATTTATTTGTTTGCCTAAATTATTTTTTATATATATATATACATGTATATATATATATATTTGTTATTATTTTGTTTGGCTCATAAAACTCAATGACATACACGTGTGTTTTTAATATACAAATTTATATATTTAATATTATTGTATATACTGTCCACAGAATCCTAACGGCCGCTGATATTATGTCTATTGAGAGGAAGGCCTTTCATAATATGAAACGTTTACAATATCTCTACTTAAGTGGCAATAAGTTATCAGCGATCAGAAGCAAGACTTTTCATTATAACAGTGCACTCGAGCTCTTGTATGTATAGTTTTTTTACATAAAAAAATTATTATTTTTTCATTTAATAAAATAAATAGACTATAATTTATTATATAAACATAATAAAAAAAATCTTTTGAAATAATTATCTAATGCATGAATATTTTGAAGATTTCAATTATTATATGTATAATATATTTTTATATATTATTTTAGTTTGCAAGTCCATGTCAGTCAAAATAATTACTTTTATTATTATAAATAGTAATTTTTAAATAAATGCTTTAAAATAATGATCAATTATTTAGATATAAAATAATAAAAAATTTAGACTAATTAAAATTAAGAGATTGTATTGAATAATTAATGCATAAGTTAGTAATGTTTTTGTTTTTTAATAATATATTATTTTGTTAGACAATTGAAATGAAATAATTATTCAGATATATGTTTAATTAATAATTATTATTTTACGCTAATCTATATATAGAGTATTATCGCATAATCCCATCAATAATTTGGAGTCAAAATCATTTGAAGGCTTAACTAATTTAACGGAACTGTAAGTTAATAAAAAGTTAATAATTAATTTGTATAAACATTAAATTTATATAATTGAAATAAATTATTAATATGTTTTCTAATGTATGTTTTGCTATTAATATAATATGATTATTATTTACAGTGATTTAAGAGATTGTCGTTTAAAAGATTTGCCGCAACAGATATTTGATCCGTTAAGGAGTTTAACAATTTTATGGTTAGACGGAAATCAATTGAATGTCTTATTAAATGATGTTTTCTCGAGTCTACCATATTTGGAGACATTGTAAGTAATGCAAAAATATTAATTTATTTAATATTATAAATTTTTTAATATAAGAATTTTTTTAATATAAGATTTTTAAAAAATATATTTACATTTTCAATGATTAACATAATTAATACGGTTTAATAAATATCATGAATTTTGATTCTTATAATTTATATAATATAATGATTTGAATTATTTAATATAATAATAATGTTGTCTAATAACTTATGCTCGAATTATTTGTATATTAAATATAATATGAATAATCATATTACTTTACTTAGACATAATTTAATATTAATAAAAACATTTGTTAAATCATTAAAATAATTAGACAAAAGATGTATTAAATTCAAAAAAATATAAGTAGTAATTATATTGTATTATAACAGCATTTTTGTAAAAAATAACTAATAATTTCAGTATAAAATATATTAATTTAAGAATCATTATTTTTGTTATATATTCTTATATTTTAATTATAAAAACAGATACTCAATAAAAACAACTTAATAAGTATATACTTTAATAATAAGTAATTATTTAATATATAGTGTAATTACAGTACAGTATATTAGTTATATAGATACTGTATTATTATAGATATAATTTCTTTATTAAATTTATAAGTTTCTAATAAGAAATTATTATTAACACAAAAGATTATCGCATATTATTATAATAATTATTATTAGTAGAAATAGTAATAAATATTTATATAAATGATTGTCTAATATTCAAAGTATAAAACTGTTGAAAACTACAGGTCATTATCTCGCAATCAAATACAATACGTCGATTCCGACACATTTTGGGGACTCAATTCACTCCGATCTCTGTATGTATTATCCTATTTTTCTTGACTATATATTACATGAAAATTTTGTTGTTTTTTTTCGTTTTGTTGTTGTTATTATTTTCCTATTTATGTGATAAACCAGAAATCAAAAATTGCAAAGAAAAACACTATATATATAACAATTTAAATGATAATTTATTGATGATATTCATTAAATTTATATATGTCTCTATCTATTAATATAGTTATTTATTTATTGATGATTAGAAAATGATTTTTGTGTGTATTTGTTTGGAAGCCATCAAAACATTTTATATATCAATATATAACAATAAAACTAACTTTTAGTCAAACAACAAAAATATTTATTGACTAACAAAAATAAACTAGAACAATTACATGTTGTACACATTATAGTTGCTATAATAATAATAATAATAAAAATTAACTAGATATTTTGAGAACATATTAAATTTTTTTCCTAATAAACATGTTGTTTATTATTTAAKATATATTTGTTAGCTATTGTGATATTGTTTAGATTTTTTGTTAAAAAAATTATTGTTATATAAATTGATATAAATATACTTTACTTTATTTATAGATCATTGGCATCCAATTCACTTACATATATTGGAGACACTTGTTTTGGTGAATTGAATTCACTGTTAAAACTGTATGCTATAAATCTTTATTGATTTTTATTCTTAATTATTAGTTAAAACATTAATTTTTCAGATAATAATATTTTATATTAATCTGTTTTTATTATTTTTTAAAATATTATTCACTAGTGATTTAAGTAATAATCAAATACATACATTTGGACCAAACTCATTTATTTATTTGAATGTCATTGAATCGCTGTAAGTGACTAAAAGTTTTTTTTTAAATCAATATTATATATAAAACTATAAAAATTAATTAATATTAAGAAAATAATTAATAGTTGAAAAACATTGAAATTAATATCCGTTTTTAAAAAAAATAATATTATCTAAATTTTAAACAGTGATCTCCGTAAAAATCCATTTCGTAAATTTCCCACCGGAATATTCAACAATTTGACAACTTTAACACATATGTAATTATTATTTTTAAAAAACTATTAAATATTATAATAATAATAATTTGTATTATCTTAGATATTATAAATGTAAAAAATTTTCTTATCATCAATTTAATCAGTTTTACAGACACATAATAGTTTTGTGTGCAAACTATTTATAGCAAAAAAAAGATATTATTATGTACTGTATTTAGTAGTAGTAGAGGTAAATATTTTTAGTAGATTTAAGAAAAAACTGTGAAAATCCTCACAAAAAAACATTTACACAGAGATTAGCCTTCAAAAGGAAATAAGAAAATCAATGGTTTTTTTTTGTTTCAAATAATTATTTTTAAGTTTCAATGAACTATTAGTTTGTACTACACTTATATAGGTTTAGACAATTGGTGTGAATATACTAAAAGTTAATTAATTTTTATCATTGTTTTCAATGTTTCAATTCGATAGCTATTTTGATGACTTCAAGTTGTGCTCGTATGCTATGCACGTGCGGATATGCGAGCCCAGGGGTGATGGTATCAGCAGCTTTCAGCACCTATTAGACAATGTTATACTCCGTGTTAGCGTATGGATTGTGGCACTGGTAGCCTGTGTGGGCAATCTATTTGTTTTAATTGGCCGAATGATGATGCATGAAATGAACGAAGTATGACTACTGTCCCAAACAATTGACAACTATTTTTGATATTTTTAGAAAAAAACAAACAATAATTTATAAATTTACAAAATAATTATTAGTTTTTAAAAAATAATAATAATATAGTATTTATTTTCAACTCAATTAAATTATTATTATCTTTACATTTGTTATGCAAGTAATTTATAAAGTATTAAAATTTATTTTTGCTTATAATACATAAATCATAATACAAATACATTAATATTAAAGTACAAATTTTTATTTTTTTTAAATTTTTATTTTATTTATTTTATTACTACTGTATATTTAGAAATAATTAATTTTCATTTGTTTGAAAATTGATACAAAAATTGTGTCAAAATAATTTTGTTATTTAATTTGTCAAATATTCAGAGCTTAATAGAGAAGATAAAATGAACTATATGCTTTTATAAAATAACAAAAATAGCTTAATTAATTAGCTATATTAAAAGTTTATTGATAAAAGTAAATATATGGTATCTTATATATTGTTATTGTCATTCACCCGTTCCCTACCATTTATCCCACTCCCTCCCACACACGCATGAATTGCATATACAGGTGCACTCGTTTTTCATCAAAAACCTGGCACTGGCCGATCTAGTTATGAGTGTCTATCTATTCATAATAGCTTATTATGACAATCTATTTCGTGGCGAATATATTAGACATGAGGAGCGGTGGAGAGGCAGTTGGCAGTGCATACTGTGCGGCCTTCTCAGTACAATCAGTAGTGAGGCCTCGGTGTTCACCCTAACCATCATTACTATTGATAGATACCTATCAGTGCTCTACCCGTTTAGTCTCAAACGTCGTACTAAATTGTTTGCTATGTTGACAATGACCGGCGTCTGGTTATTATCCATACTGTTAGCAATCGTACCATTGCTTGATTACGATATTTTTGGCACAGAGTTTTATACGAGTAATGGTGTTTGTCTGGCCCTACAAATCCATGACCCCTACAGTAAGGGATGGGAATATTCAATGTTCTTGTTTTGTGGCATTAATTCAGTGGCATTTGCTTTCATAACTGTAAGTATTATACAAAATACTAATCATTATTCATAACTAACTATATATTAATAATATCATATTAAGTACGCCTACATCAGTATGTCGTCGACTATTACCTCATCGGCGGTCGGACTCCGGACTACACAACAAAAACAGGACAGAAATATAGCCAAACGGTGCGGTTTTATTGTGGCTACAGATTGTTTGTGTTGGATGCCTATAGTAGTAATTAAAGTATTGGCACTGGCAGGTAATTAATTAGTTTTTTTAAAAACATTATAAAGAATATTCTGAATATTAATTTAATTAATTAATTTTTTTTAGGAGTTCCCATAAACGATTCATTATATGCTGTGATCGCTATATTTTTACTTCCTGTCAATTCAGGTAATATAAAAAAAAATTAATTAATATTTTTTCCCAATAAATATTTATATAAATATTTGTATTAATTATCTAATTTATTATTTATTAGCTCTGAATCCCGTACTCTACACACTGACCACCAAATTATTCAAACAGCACTTCTCAAAAATCATGACATATAGCCTACATCTGCACCGAAGCGGATCGGCCGGAGACCAACATTCGGGTACTTCCTATTCTACGATTATAACACATTCAAGAAATACCTGCAAACGGTCAGTGCTGACCATCTCCTCTGAAGTAAGTCCGAGGCAGGCGTTGATTCCCCCAAAAGAAAAAAGTTTCAAATAGTTATTTTAAAATTATTTTTTTCAAGAAACAAAAAAATTGTTTCAATTATAATTCAATCAATATTTTTTCAGTACCGGTAGTCAATAATTTCAAAATAGTCTTTTATTTTTTCTCAAAAAAAAAATTTAAAAAAAATTTTATAAAGAGATTCTGTAAATAAACGGCAAAAAATAATCAATTGATTAATTACCAAAAAAATACTCGGACTTTCACTCATGAATACTATGGTATGGGATATAAAAACTATGCTTTAGCTTTAATATCAAAATGTTATGCAAAATACTTAAAAAAATAAATAATTATAAAATGCTTAGACTCTGACACTACAATACTGACTTTTTTAAAAAATACTTTAATTACTTATAATACATAAAACTTTATTACATATTGAGACTTAATGTCTATTTTAAGACCTAATGTTTTAATCACTAAACTAAAAATATAGACCGAACCGGATGTGGTGAGCGACCGGTCGCCGCGCTTTACTACAGTCCAGACGCCAGAGATGTTTGCATTGATGCCAATCAAGAGATTAAACTCACAGGAAAGCAAACCAATGGACAGTTTGCTGTAAATGATACGATTGTCATCGATGGACAACAACAACAACAATCAACGAATCGTTACTTCAGTTTTAAAGATATACAAAAACTAAATAGATTTAGACGAGAGAGAAGACGTAAGGCATCATAAAAATATTTTTTGATTTTGATTTTTTAGATAAATGTTTAGATAGTATATACGTTATATATATATATATAAATAGTTTATGTATTATAATAAAAAAAACAGGTGTATATGTAATTAACTTATGATAAAATAATTATAGATATTATAGAGACAATGTTATACAATAATTACAGTAATGTACTCACATAATAATAATTGTTAATAATAATATTAATCATAATATAAATTTATATACAATACAGAATTTACACATATGTCATAAATATTAAGTATAATAAAAATCAACAAAATATCATAAATCTTATATATTTATGTATAAAAATATATTTATACAGCCATTTAATTATGTATTTAAAATTTTATTTATTTATAATTAATTTTATGGAATAGTTTTACAGTGCCCTATAATCAAACTTTTGTATTTACTGTTATACTATAATTTTTGTTGATTAATAAACTTCAATATTATTTTATATTTGACTAATTGATTGGAGAAAAGACATTTAATTTGACTTATTTTTTAAAATAACAAGTTTTTAATTGTATCAAATTGTCTTATAATGGCTTCAATTTTGGGAACGGGTGTTTCTACCATCACGTGTACCACATAACTGACCAAAAATGATAGTATTGAAAAAATTGCATTACCTAAATATTTAAATAATTAATATTATATAACATTATTGAATAACAATATTATAGTACTATTTATTAATATCTAATTGTCTAATAAATATTTATAAACTCTATTATTATATACAAAACTTTATATCTGATATTTAATGAATGAATTTTTTTAATTAATAATCTTCTGTTATTCAATAGTTGTTAACTTCAAAAAAAATCAAAAAATATTTTCGCCTTATATTATATTACTATAATAATTATTATATAGATAATGCTATAAAGTATATATAGAGATTTTACAGTATATGTACAATAATTATTAGATACAATGTAATCAATTAAAGTAAAATTAGTTAACAAATTAATTAATATACGGGTTGTTCGGTTGTAAAAGCAATAATGGATGATATAGATAGGCTTGAAATGACAGTCTACTAAATGATATAAATGCTACAGTAGTCGATTGATAACAACTCCGTGTCCAATGGCACAGACAAACAACATGTATGACCAACAAATAGACCTAACTGTACAATCAAGTGTACCGTATAATAGATTCTGAATATTGTTATAAATATAGCCCAATATCCAGGTATATGTTACAAACATTATGAACAGATTTATGCAAATACATAGTATCCATAAAATAACGTTAAGTTTCTATGATTTATTTTTTTTATTATAGTTTCAAAATGCAAATATATTAATTATTAATTGTTAATTAACTAATACTGTAAATAAAACTAACCGGTTTAATAACAATATGTAAGCCATTAGTATATCGATACAATAAGGACCGGTCCAATAAAATGATGTCATATATATATATCTTTTCCGCATAATTTTGATCAATATTTAAAATATTTATAATATTAAAATTCTTAAAAATTATATTATCTAAAAATATTAATAAAATAATTTCCAAAAAAGTGAAGCTATACTTAAGATCCAAAAAGGTAGGTGCTGTGTCATACTTGACCATGGTCACTGGCCGTAAATCTACAACTTATTATAGTTAACAATATATTTAATATATTATATTTTTTAAATAAACAAATACTTTCATTAAAATTATTATTTATAATTTCAATGCATTGTATTAATATATTAATAACAAAACTGTATATAACTGTAATATACCCCAAAAAAATATTGTCATACCTTTGGTCATTTGAGTGTAGATGTGATATAATATTATATAAACTACACAAAAACACGTATCCCATGAAAACAATTGATTGTATTTCATTGACTCGAATTAATTCAATAGTATTTCTATACAATGAAAATGCTTGAAGTGATTCAATCAATTTAGTTGTTTTCAGTGCTACTCTATATAATAAACAAATTATATGATTATACAGTACTATAAAATTTATAGTATAAATACTGTAGAATATAATTTATAATTTATTTTATTAATGCATATAATTAATACTTATAAAAATTTTTTGTTATAAAATTATCAATTACTATAATATTGAATATTGTTTTTTAAATATTTTATAATTTTATTACTAAAAAATAAATATTTTAATGTTTATGTCGTTTAAGCTTTGAAATATGTCATATTTTGAATAAATTAAATAATGATAATATTTTGAGAATTTTTAATATTACAATTTAAAAAATACTTTTGTAATGAAGTTTTGAAATTAATTTATCAAAATATTTAAGGCTATAATAATATAAAATTATAATTTAATTTATAAAAGTTTAACTTTACATTGCAATACAATTTCCTTCATAGTTTTGACAAAATTAAATTATTAATAAAATTTAAATCCATTTATAATAATATAAAAATTTTAAAATTTAATTATTTAACTCAATTCTACAGAATTTTAAAGATTATTTCATATAATTTTTTGTACAATATTAAACTAATAAATAAATAATAAAATAATATAGTTTATAATGCAGTTTTAATATTTTAACTACCGATAAATTAAATAATTTTTTGCTATGATACTAAATTTATTAATTAAATCTACATAAATTAAACATCAATTTAAACTAAAATCCCTAAAAAATAAGTATTCATAAAAATAAAATTGTTAACTCATTTTACATATACCGGCAAATTATATCTATTAATATATTGATAATTTGTTTTATAAATATAACAAAATAAAAAAAAGTGAAATTTAATTAATTTAAAACAAATTTATTACTTTAATGTAGATGATGTTATTACAATGAAAAATGTAAAATTCATTCAATACTGTATATAATTATAATAAATTACATAAATTATAGTAAAATTTAGAGTCAAAAAACAAATGACACTAAATATAATTTGTATAACATTTTTTCAAATTTATATAATAAACTATTTTTAGAAATTGAAATCATAATAAATTATAAATTTTGAGTAAATTATCATACATTAAATTACTAAACTTAGGTAATATATATATATTAATAGCTACCAATACTAAATAGGCACTCAATTGTAACATTTATTATATAATTTGATAATAATTGCTAATAAATCTGCAATTTCTTCACAAAAAAAACAAATAAATGGTTTATAAATTTAATGCTTGAAAGTGTCGCTCGCAGTGAATTGTCTGTTATAACGTTTGTTGAGATCTTTAACAAACTCCACTTTCAATATCTTCAAGCACTTCCTATAGGATGAACTGGACCTATATTTGGCAATGTCGAAACTGGGTGCGTGTGGCATATGGACAATGAAAGCATTGGGCAGTACGATAAACTCGTACCCCTGAGCGTACAGTTCCATAATATGCGACACTTTATTCCAGCCGAAGCCCACAAATCTCGTGTCATATTCAGGAATATCGCGCTTAACCACTATATATGGCTCAAAGTCTTGTTCCCAAGTGATCCGATAGGGAGTGGTTGCTGTCCTCCAGTTTGCGTAATTGGTCGGTGCGTGACCTTTGGTCCAAACATGATATCTAAATGTAAACAACGTTCCCATGTCTAGCATTGAAAGTAATTCAGCTTTGGTTTTTGGAAACGATATCCTATAACGTTGTGTCTCAAATGCTGGAACTACCAGTGCTTTCTTCGATGCCGACTCTAATCCCATGGCCGCCACAGAACGCTTTAAGTACTCGTAGAGACCAAACATTGGCAAAAAGTCAACATCTGTTAGAAATACAAATGGAGTGTTGACCTGTTGGAGGGCAACGTTTCGCAAGTGATTAATCGGATAGAAAGGTCCGTCTCTATAGACGATATGATAGCCAATGTTCTTCCGTTCTCTCAATATCTCCGATGTCTGAGCGTATCCAAGAAATTGTTGCACTTCAGAGTCGGACATATACATAGCTAAAGATATGGGTCCCTCCCAGTGCTGACACAAAGCTTCAACCATTTGTAACCTATCCATCGATAGTTGCGCCACAAGCGTGACGTCGTTGCCTTCGGGTGACGGCTCGTAGTCGTATTCAATGTAATACAAGTGTGTTCGGTGTTGAGTGACACGAGACAGACGGAACTCATAGCACGGATCGTCTTCGTCGATCTGATTCATCAAATTTGATGACTCATAATATATGGCATTTTCTTTGGTATTATTACAGCCGATAAGTTCTCTTCTCAAAAGGTTTCCGTCATACTCGAGGAATGTTAGGTAAAGATTGCGGAAAAATTCCAAATGTTTATTCTTGACTTTTAACTTCTTTGGTGAATTCCAGTGAATTATCTTCAGGTCCTGTACTTCAGTATAGCACAGGGCGTCCGACAGTGTATTGTCGCTTAGCTGTACGTTCCACTGACACGGAAGCTTATAGACAAGGAAAGGGTATTGTTTGATAACGGCATTGAAGATGTCCTGATCGGCCAACGAAGTGGACAACATAGACATAAGTTCTTTTTCGGCTACCATTTTCCACACAACTGACCAATTAAACTCTCGTAAACGTTTCAAACTGAATAACATGACACCCGTATTGAATCCCCGACCCAATGCAGGCCACGGTCTGTGATTTTTCCAGAGTTTACCCAAATACCAGTCACTTTGATTCTCGACTAATGCCAGCGACTCTTTGGTCATCTTAGCGAACAGTTTCCATAGTTCAGCGATATCGGTGGCAAACGTAATATCGGTGTCCAATACGATAACTTTGTCCATATTCTGCGGTAATGCTTTCGGTAATACTAGTTTCATGAGTCCGTAGACACCCGAATAGTGTTTGTTCGGTATCCACGACACGTCTGACTGTAGATTGTCGGCCAAATAAAAGCTAACGCCGAGCGCAGGCACTGACCAAGTCTTGAATAGTGTCTGTAGTATCGTATGGGCGATGGAGTCACTGATGAAATGAAAATGAAGCGGATTTTTACGGTAAAACAAAATCGATTTAATTAGAGTCACAACACTTCGCGATGAGTTATATCCGGCGCAGACTATCACCACATGAATGACCTCACATTTAGGAACTATGTCTTCGTGACTATTATGGCAATTATTGGTCAACAGTTTCGTACCGCCGCTATCGTCATCAGCGATCACCAAATTGGTCTCAATCGGCATTGACAATGATTTTTCATCCGTCAATTTATTGCTATTTATATCATTAATATTAATGTCTTTATTAGTTTTTATTTGGCGAACACTATTGGTGTCCACTTTCGGTATATTATTTTGATCATCGGCTTTATGTCTATTATTATTATCATTATCACTATTTTGCTGTTGTTGTTGATCACTCATAATTGAGACCAACTTTTCCCGCGAAATACTCAGCTGTCGTCTTAAGAATTGGTTTTGTTGTTCCACTTCTTTGACCCGTTCGGCGAGTTTGGCCTCGCGATCGGTAAAACCGAGAAAATGACGGCTGGCCTGAGTCCTATCTCTTAACTGTTGATAGATATAGAGACTCATCGGTATTGAACACAACAACACCAGTGACCACAACTGCAACAACTGTCGGCGTCTCATCTTTTTGGTCAACATTACCGAATCCACTTCAATAAATCAATTGGACCCGACTGTCCACTTGATATGATAACAATAATTATTATATGATATTATATATCCTTTATTACCTAATTATCGGCTAATTTTTGGTCACAAAAATTTTGGTCATTTTCTTTGAGTTTTCATTTATCGTCGTTTACTAACTAATTATTTTTGATTTGCATTACAATTGATTTAACAAACAAAACAAATATATTTAATATATAATATGAACATGGTCATTTGACATTAGCATATCATATAACTAACACTGTTGTAAAATGATCTAGATGCTATTTATATATATATATATAGATTAATAAACAACAATACATTATTGTTATATAACAATAGTGATGATTCATTAGCATTTATGGCACATTGTTGTTAACAAACAAAATTATAAATCATGATAAATTCAAAATATTTATTTGTCCATGGTTAAATTTGACAAATTATTTATAACATATTTTTTTTGGTTTGAAAAACTTTGATACCTTTAATGGGTTTTAAATTTTTTTTTCTAGAAAAACATTAATGAAAATGTGATTATCGAAAGTGTAATCATTTTTTTCTGTGTGTATAATATTATTATTTGTTGTGTATTATTATATGTACTGTATATCGATTTGACATACAGTACAGTACTGTACAGTAGTATTACATTACTATATAAATATATTAATGTATAATACTGTACACTATTGTTGTTGTTTATCGCATATAAGCATCGAGTCATTGACATTATTATATTCATTCATTGAATAACTATATGTCAATAACGTGTTTATATAAATATTTCATATATTTATTGGCAAACATGAGCCCAAACCCTCCAAAATGTAAATGACTGACCATTTAGAGAGCTAACTGTGTTTACTATTTATATAAAAATAAAGAGTTTAGAAAAAATAATTATTTATTTTTTAATTATTACATAATATATGACCAAATGTTTGATAGTTTATAAATACTGTATATTGTTATCAATCAAAAACAACAAAATAATAATTATTAGAATATAATAGACAACTATTTATCAATAGTCTAGTCATCATTTGTTGTCTATATTATTGTTGATTTAAAAAACTTATTATTTTTAGTATTTATTTATTTATTTATATTTTCGTGATTTTATTAATAATATCCTATTTATTGTTGAATTCATTGATAATTTTTTTGTTTGTTTATTGTTTTTCTTTTGGTGACAATTATTATTATTTTCGTTGAATGTTTCGGTAATTGTATCAATCAATTAGTAAAGCCGTCGACTAAGCTTAGTCACTAGTGGTCACTTAACTGGTCAGTCAATAAGCGATTTGATGTTAACTGTTATCGATGACACTTTGATGGCCACTTTAGGACTATCGGTAAACAAACAACTAATTTTTTTTCAGACCGATTAATTGGTGACCGAAACTTTGTGTTCACATTATAAGAGACAACTAATCCAATACTTGTTTTTTTTGTAGGTTTGACACAATTTTCTGATATATAAGTAATAAACAGTGATTACATGATCATTAGTATTGACCGAATCGATTGAGAGGACAAATTTTGGTGGCCAAGTGTTGGTCAATTTTTTTTAAAAAGACAAATGGATTCAAAAAATTTGATTCACTGGAAACACAATCGGGAGTACAGCGATCATAATGGACACAAGTTTCAAAGGAAAATGCAGATCAATGGCAATCTTATATCGAGATTAGGTCTCGAAGTGGAACTGGAGGTATAACTTATAAGTTGTGTTTATAAATATTATAGATATTAACCATCAATTTATTCCTCTTAAGGGACACTCTGGTTGTGTTAATTGTCTTGAATGGAATCAAAGCGGAAGGTTTGCGAAAGTGTTGAAAATAATTTTGTATTAAATTTTAAATTTATTGAATTTTTCTGTTAGTCTACTCGCCAGCGGTTCCGATGACGTGCAGATCATAGTATGGGATCCGTTACGCTATAAGAAGTTGCACTGTTTGCAGAGCGGACATCAGGGAAACATATTTTCTATTAAATTTATGCCCAAATCTAATGACAACATTGTCTGTTCGGGTGCGGCCGACTGTAAGGTCAGAGTGCACGACATGAAGGCATCGGAAACTATTCTGGCCTGTGATTGTCATATGGGTCGTGTCAAACGGTTAGCCGTAGCGCCCGACGTGCCTCACATATTCTGGTCGGCCGCTGAGGACGGACTAGTATTACAATATGATTTACGGGAAAAGCACCGGTGCTTTTCAGTTTGCAATAACGTGTTAATCAATTTGATGAACTATAACGGACCCAACGCTGAGGTTAAATGTGTGGCTATTAATCCGATTCGCACCGAATTGATTGCCATCGGAGCTAACGATGCCTTTGTTCGGCTATACGACAGAAGAATGATTTCTTTGCAATCGATTCATGTATTGAAATATTTGTATTTTTTAATTGAAATATTACCGATAATTATATATTTATTATTATTATTACTTTAATAGAATCGTAACGAATTGGGTTCTCGGTATTCATGGGAACGGCGTATGGCTCCGGCCAACAACGACAACATCAGTGAAGAGTCATCCACTTTAACTGATAATTTACCCATTGGTTGTGTCAAATACTTCATTGCCGGACATCTTTTAAGACGAAAAGATAAGAAACGCTATCGCGCTTACGCCTCAACATACCTGTCCTTTAGTCCCGATGGCAACGAATTACTATCTAATTTAGGCTCCGAACAGATTTATCTCTTCGATGTAATAAAACCATCGAAACCGAAATTTTATAACACAGATGTTATGCACAAAAATGGTTATCACAAAGAGTTGGCTGTAAACACTACGACAACAACAACGAGCAATGGTTACCACCATTTGAATGGTGTAGTAAAAGATTGTGAATCACTGGATGTAATACCGAAAAGTGCAATGTTTGACAAAAAATTATATTTGTTTAATTCAACGTTACCTCCGATTATTGACAAAATCAAAACTAAAGCAAACGAACGATTCGACAGATCAAACTATACGCTGGCTATCGATCTCTACAACAAAGCTGTTTCATTGTGTCCGCGAGCGGCTGTTCTCTACGGTAACCGTGCACTCGCTTATATGAACCGCAAATGGGACGGCGATATCTATGCGGCACTTCGTGATTGTTATACAGCTCTTCAACTCGATGGCAATTATTATAAGGCTAACTATAGACTTTGTAAGTGTTTGTTAGCACTGGAATGGTTCCGGGAAGCTAATGATTGTTACGACACGTATAAACAAAAGTTTGCGGAACAGGCAGACACTGACGCCTCACAGAAACTCTATAGAGAGATACAACAGGCCGTCAACAACAAGTCGTCAGACCAATCGTCGACATGTCGTTCAAGAAGTAGTCCCTACACAGAGACCGATAGCAATGGTTCCAATGATGACGTTATCTATAATATGTCTAATGCTGTGAACAGTCAGGAAAGGGAGTGGAGGTCTCTATCTTTTGACTATAAATCTCGATATTGTGGTCACTGTAATACAACTACCGATATTAAAGAGGCCAACTTTTTTGGAAGGTTTGTTTGTTTGACAAATTAAACAATTTGTATTAATTGCTAAAAAATTATGTCTGTAGTGATGGCCAGTATATAATTGCCGGTTCAGATGACGGATCATTCTTTGTATGGGACAGACAAACCACTAACATTGTACGCGTTATGAGAGGTGACGAGTCAATAGTCAATTGTCTGCAACCGCATCCAACTACCTGTTTGTTAGCCACCAGTGGTATCGATCAAGTCGTTAGACTATGGAGTCCGCGACCAGAGGTTAACTATTGATAGATCCCAGAAATAAATAGAAAAGTTATTTACGGTAATTGTTTTTGTTTTGTATTTAAGGACGGCCGTAAAGATGAACGCGAAGTAGAGAACTCGGGTGATGCAGCAATGGCCAACCAAAAACGTATGAATACAGATCCATTGGAAGTGATGTTGGCTAATATGGGCTACAGAGTACCCACAATGTTAGACTCGGAAGACGAAGACTCAGATCAAATAGGTGTTCACTGCAGGACTAGTTAGTAGTACTCATTGTTAGACACATTTTTGACGATATAATAATTATATCTAAACTAATATATTTTATATACAATATATTGTATTTAATTATTATTTTTTTAAAGTAAAACCAGTTGAATAATTTGAATAATTACCGGTATAAATAATTTTGTTTTTATTTTTAAAATTTATATAAGTGAAGTTATATTTATGTAAAAATATGATTTAATTTATAAATAATAAAAAGTTACTAATTAAATAATTTGTTGTAATTATTATTATATAATAATTGTTTTTTGAGCTATTTCATTGAGAAATTAATTTAAAATTAATATTTAATAAAAAACTGTTCATAATTTATTAATTGTTGTTAATTTGTTTAGATTAAACTAATACAAATAAATAAATAACAACAAAAAATTGGATCAAATAATAACAAACTTAACAATACATAAATTAATAAAACTAAATTAATAAATCAATTACTGTAATACTATTTAATAAATATTCATAAAAGAAATTATCATAATAATTATCATTATATTTATCAATACTTGTATTACGAGTATATAAACTTACAAAACGATATTCATAATTAATAATTACCGTAAATTGTATGAAATTATTTATATCCTATACCAGTAGTAAAACTGCGAGTAATATATCAATATACTAAATGCTAAATAATATAAATAATAATAATCTGTACATTGATTTTGCTTATGTAACCAAATTGACTATAATTTATATCAAACTGTATCAATCAATTATTTTTAAATAATTACCGTAATAATACAGTACTAAATGTGCAATAATTACTAAACTGGAATCTATGGAAGCAGTTGGGATAAGCCCTACAAGATTACGGTAAGCTTATGGGAGTAAAACCAGATCAACTCATTATTTTTTGTGGACATCAACTTTGGAATGTTAGCTATAAAAAACATTGGTAGTATTAAATGTTGAATACCAGATTTTGTTGGTTACATATTGAAGCCCCAGTTGGCTAACGGGTTAAATATGTCGTCCTTAAGTGTAAACTCAGATATCGTAATATATACGCCGACCACTACACCGATAACCGATGCCACGTATATGTTGTTGCGGAATATAATACAAGTGGCCACACATAGACCCAGGTATGTGGCATACCTGGCCAGTGATATATGAACTTCTCGTTTGTTCGAATTTACGTCAATACAGATGTCATTGTTTAAGACATAATTTGGTGCACATTTAAGGCACTGATTGATAGATTATGAAAAAATGAGAAAAAATAAGTTTTTATAAGATTAGCTAAAAAAAAATTAAATCATAATCTTTTTATCAATAAATTATTTTTTTWAAAAAGATAATCACCGAATCAGGTCCGTCACCATTACATCCGTCGCAGGCTTTGTCACATTCTTTATAAGAAAAAATTTGAAACAAATATTACAATTTTTTTATTTGTTGATAATTATCGACAAATCATTTATAAAATCAATAAAATAAAATCAATTAAAAAATTATATTTTATTAATTTCAACAAAAAAATAAATAAAAACAATTATAAATAGAAAATAAAATGACTAATTTTGAACTATACTTATGATAATAACTTATTCATTACAATTAGATTTAATTAAAAATTAAACTAAAATAATATCATTTATATTTTCGTCTCTTATCTTTCAATTGTCTAAACAATCGTTTAAAATCACGGCATTTATAAAGGAGTTGAGGACTCGGATAGTGGAGTACAGGATTGGCTACCGTTCCGCTCGGACACTGGTATCGCAATGATAAGAGACACTTACGGTAACAATAATAGGAGCCCTCAGTGTTGATGCAAAAGGCGTTAGTCTCGCACGGAGTGACTCCGAGATCGACGCACTCGTCCACATCAAGACAACCGTAATCGTTGTCCCAGATATAGCCCGTTCCGCATACCAAACAACCTTTAGGACCTGAGGACCGACATCCGTCTTGACATGACTTATGGCATTCTTGACATATTGGAAGACCGTCTTCGGTGGTATCGTTTTTGAAATAGTTTTTCGCACACATATTACACAGATTACCGGTAAACCCGGCGTCGCACAGACACTTGCCGGTACCGTCGGTCGAACCATTACCCGAACAATAGCCTCTATTATTGCACACTTTATAGGGATATCCCGGACATGGCGTACAGTTTGGTCCGTAATGGTTGTCCGGACAACAGGCCTTCATTTTGTTCATACAGAGATAGTCATACAATGTCTCTCCCGATTGACGTTTTGTGAACCACCAGTTCTCAATTTGGGGCTCATATTCTTCAGCCAAATGATGACACTGTCAACACAACACACAGACAGATATCTTAGTTATATAATCATTGTTTATCAATACGACAAAAACAAATACCTGATCCTTTCCTGAGCTCAGTTCATTGCACAACATTTCCTGTATTTCAGTTAATCTGATCTCTGAGTTAGAGTATGACCGGAGTTTCGACTCTTCCCAATTGGTGTCTCCGCCTTCAAACTTACCGCGTTTGGTGCGCTCCAGACCCTATAGTATTGGATCAAAAGAGGTGATAACCATTAAAAATCAAAATTATTATCAATAATATTGTATATTAATTACCGCATCAAATGATTCGGTTAAGACGCGACACTTTTGACACAAAGTCAACGATTGATCACCACTTTGTCCGCTTCGATGATAATCTGGTTGTGACAACGGCAGGTCACCGATGGCACTGGTGGTCACCGGTATTAATGATAGTAACAATAGTATGAAAAATATTATCAAAACTATGGTATTGACCATAACTTTCGTATTATAAGAGCCAGTCTTCGGCAAGTCGTGTCTCAAACTCTTATTACACGTCATGTTATGACCACTCGAGTCGATGTCGTCGTCGCCGTCATCGTTGGTCACTAACTTGTCATTGCGCTTGTTTTGGCTCCTATTCATTGCTTCATCAACTCAATCGATGACTCTCTATCACCTCAATTGGTCACTGATATCACCAAATTTGATGAACGGTTTTAAACGACAACTGTTTTGCCGGTCTTTCACTGCTTTTTATATAACGCTATAATAAACACAACAAACAAGAGCTCAATGTTTTGGTTATAAATTATATTTATATAACTTATATAATCACAAAAATACAATATTAACGTTACGTTACCTCATATGTGGGGCACTGTTAGGGGTAATACCTGTGCCGTCAAAGAGACATAATTTTGTAATAATAATTAAGTAAAAGAAAACTAGTTTTAAAAAACTTAATTTTATTGTTTATTACATTAAAAATAATTAATATAATATATACTGTATTTTTAACATTTTAACAATAATTTTTTCATGTTTTCTGTCTCTTATTTGATGATTTATTGGTTACCATTTCAATGTCAAACGGTTTGATTATATCAACAACTAATCGCTGTCTCAAACTAACATTGTTGTCACTGATTGATAGCCGCACCCGAAGCGGATCAAAGTGTCGAAACTTATGATTGCGGGGAAGATATTCTTGGGTCAGCTCTTTGTTGTCGTACAACCAATCTGTTGATGTCTTGTTCATAAAATAGCTCACTTCCAGTGCCAGATGTGGCAAAAATATTTGAAATGCATTCTTCTTAATGTTCATTATATAGCCGTCCTCTTCGAGCGGTTGTCCACCCGATCGTTCTTTAATATAGAGTAGTGAATGCAAATTGTTAGACTCTCGGGACGCCTCCCGTGCATTCTTGTTGCGGATGTTGATGTGGTCGCAGATGGCCGTCATATAGCGTTTGTTGAGAAGTGACGCGTCCAGTGCTTCATATTCGATGACATGACTAAGCAATCGGTGAACCATGAGATCGGCGTATCGCCTGATGGGTGATGTAAAGTGTGTATAGATTGGTGTGGCTAAGCCGTAGTGGTCGAAGGAGTCATCGGTTCCTGTGAGGGCACCGCTACAGAAATAGACGGCCTGTGACATCATACGTGTGGTTGTCATTCGTAAAAGTAAATTCTTGTATGGATTATTCGGATCGCGTACACTGTCTAAACTTCGCGATAACGTCTTGCCATCGGTAACATCGATGTCAACTCCCAAAGCTTTGCCAACATTTATCAGTTCATCAAAGTTTGTTTTACTTGGTTTCGGATGACGTCGTAGTAGAGAAAGTTCGGGAAACACTTCATTAATTTTCTGGGCAACAGCTATGTTAGCCAATAACATGAACTCCTCGATCATTGAGTTTGTGTCCAAAACTTGTTTTGCCTGAATCTCGAAAACATTTTCATGTGTTTCGGAATCAATTTCAAGAAATTTAATTTCATTAGCCGAAGCTAACACAAGAGCGCCCGCTTCCAGACGTTTTCGTTTCAATATCTTCGAGATGGCCAACAATCGTCGCAAACCTTGTGTCACATCATCGATCATATTCGGCGAATCGATGCGCATCTGTGCCTCGGCGTAAGTCATTGCGCCGCGAGATTTAATCACCGATTTGGTAAATTTTGAGCTCTTTATTTCAGCGGTTTTGGCGTCGATGAGCCAAATAACGCTGAATGTCAACCTTTCGACGTCCTGATGCAGTGAACAAAGATCTGAGCTCAAGAGTGTCGGAATCATATCAATACGCTGTCCAACTAAGTAAACACTGGTCCCTCTGTTGGACGCCTCCTTGTCCAGAGGTGTATTGGGTTTAATAAAATGGGATACATCGGCGATATGAACGCCAACTTCATAGATACCATTGCCAATGTCTTTACAATGAAGTGCATCGTCGATGTCAGTACATCCGGGAGGATCTACTGAACAAATGGCTTCGTTGCGCAAATCAATTCTATTAACAAAATCTTCTTCACGTAATTTCCAGTCTTTGCCTTCTTTAGGCAAACAATTCATCACTTCTCTGGAAAATTGAATATACGGAACATCTTTTTCAAGTAAAATCACTTCAGTTTCGGTTTTCTTGTCGCCAATCGGACCAACAGATCTTATATAATGTCCTTTTGGATACTTCGAGTCTATTAACCAGTTATCGATTGCGACGACAATCCTCTGTCCTTTAATCTGTTCATATTGTCGCGTCTCAATCCTAACCATAGGTAAAGATCGATCAAACGGAACAAACAGATACCTATTGCTAGTCGAAGATACGTTTATATTCTCATTGCGTGGTCTGAGGACACCACAACTTTGCCGCAATTTTCGTCTAATTATAGATACAATTTTACCCATTGGTTGTTTCACATTCTGCTTATTGTCTTCTTCACCTAAAATCATCTTCTCTTCTCTTTCTTCTTCAATCTCGCCTTTGTCTTCAACGCCTTCTTCGACAGTTAAAACAATGTTTGATTTTGCCTTCCATTCACTTTCAGGTAACACCTCAATGGCAACAATGTCTTCATGAAGGGATCTATTGATAGCTTTTGATCCCTGTATTACAATATTTATTTCTTCTCCATTTCTTGTGATTGGAACCATTCCTTCCAAATAGTTTAGACGATTGGAAAAATACTTTCCCTGAAAATACTTTCCCGATCTGATACCCGACTGAACCACTTCTAATGGTAAGTACTCGTCATACAAAGGTTTGAGACCTTTTTCGTACTCTCCAGTGGATGACATATCGGCCAACTTGTCCACCAAATTGATGCTATTTTTTAATGACTTCACGTATTCATCAAATGGAGAGCACACTATGTTTTTTGTCTTCAGTTTAATGTTTCGATAATTGACAACAAAAACAACTTTGATATCACAACTCTTGAAATGATTTTGAAGCCATTCGGCGCCCGAAACCAGTAATCGTTGTCTGTATTCAGCAATGGTTTCACCGAAAACTCTTTCACTGAACGTCTCCTTATTGTATTCATTGAGAAACACGTAAAACCTTTTTTCGGCCATTGATTGCTTGATCTTTGTCAGCACCGAAATGTTACGCTTGACCTCATCCCAGACCGTTTGCATCAGTATGACATCGGYGCCAAAATTTTCGTCCACCAATACGTCCGACTGATGTTCGAGAACACCGAAATCGGGTATTACATAGTGAGCCGAACGACACAGACTGCTGATGTCGGCGCGCGGCCGATCACTCAGGTAGGCTCTCGGCGCAAACCGATTGTCTACCGGTAACTTAAACGGTCGACAATCGGCACAGGAATCGCGGCCACAGTGTATGTCATCGCGGAGATAATGTTCGCGAACCACTTTAATGATGGATCCCTTCTTCGTCTTTCGGTGAAACACTTTGACGGCACTCATGTTGGTGTTCGCCGATGATTACTACTTCGGTAATCAATTAATTGGCCGATAATTATAGTATTATTATTATTATTATTCTATGAAATGATAAGCGATTTAAATGTTGACAAAAATTAATGTAATTTTATTTTAAAACACATGTCATATAAAAAAAAAGGGATATAATGTAAAGTATGAGCTGTGATTACACCCTCTATTAGATTGAAACTTAACTATTGTGTTAACACTACTAAAGCTACTTATTGTTAAATATATAGTACATTTTACAGTTATGAAAAACTAATTGATCAATAATAAGCACTTAATAGTTTATTAATTAAGTGCAAAATTAATTATTTAGAAATTATTAATTATGGTGTAATACCATTAAAATTTAGGTTAGGTTGCGGGGCGTACACCAGGTTAGGTAACGTTAGGTAACACTAATTTACTATTACTTGACTACTATTGCTTGCTTTCTATGTATATGTTATACTGTATAACATAGACAGTGTATAGTTTTAGTTAAACTAATATCCAATAGAGGGGGTATACACAGCTCCTACTCTAAATTTTGCCCAAAAAAAGTTTTATCACATGTTTAACAAAATTATGATATTTTTATATAACGTAACGCTATTATATAGTTAGGGATTATTAGTTAATGCATACTATTTGTATGTATTATTAATTTGTGTGGAATTATATTTAAGAACATGTTTTTAAGTGTAACGTTGTGTATGAATTGGACATCCATTTGATTTGTTATTGTTTTGTCTCACAAATCTTGCGGTACTTGAAATATAGGCCATCCTTTTTGGCCATAATTTACCGAAAAATACATATTTTTAATCAGTTGAAGACAACACTTTGAGGATATGTTACCGACCAAAGTGTTAATTAATTTGTCACAACATTACCGAAGTGGCCTCAAGTCGGCTCTCGTCGGCACGACATGTGTTTTGCGACAATATTGGCCACAATGGCTGCAACAGAACCGCGGTATGGCGGCCGCACCAACAGCTACTGGCGCGCAACCAATTGGTAAACGACGGTTTCGATTACCGGTCGAAAAAGACGCGGACAAACTGGTGACACATTGTTGTGGCGCTAATTATTTTAAAGACGGCGAAGAGATCAAACTGAAGGCTGACGAAGAATATCCCGATTGGATTTGGCAGTTAAGACTTAATTATCCGCCAAACATACATGAATTGGARCCAAATACCAAAGAATATTGGGAACGACTGGCGATTGTTGGCCAACAACGCGAATGGAGACAACGTCGGGTATCGAGACAGAGGTTTAAGATAGTGTCCGAACGACTGATTCAATCGGAAAAATTGAGATATCGAAGACGTTTCAGAGCACTGACCTGGAAGTACTTCGATGCCGGCTATGATGTCATCGAACACTCAGAACGGGAGGACCACTGGAATATGGAGCTCAAGGATAGGTTCAGAGAACCCGATGAAAAGGAAACATTTTATCCGGGAATCGATTCCGTGACCATTCCTCACGAAGTATCAGCCAATCGGTTAGCAGTAAGAGATCCCAATACATATCAAAAGGCCGGACATTTTGGTCATTAATTTTAGTTTTTACCGGTAATGTTGTTTCAATTATATTAAAATATAAGAAGTTATTATCAATCAAATATTATAAATAAATATTTAATAATTTATATATCAATATATAAAACATCAATTAATAATAATTTGTATTATAATAAAACATTAAATATATGAGTTTATTATTTGAAGAAATTTTAAAAAATAATTCTTCAAATAATATATATTCATATATAATATATATCAATATATTTAATAAAAATGTCATTAAAAAATTGCTAATTGAGTGCAAATTTAGTGAACAGATCCAGAAATTAAAAATATAATATGACATTAATTTTTCTATAATATATATATGACTTCACAAAATATAACTAATGAAATGACAATTAGACTTAGATAAGTATAAAATAATTATCAAATAATATACAAATAAGTTATAAACACTTACAGTATATAAAATATATATTCTTTCATATGTATTACAGTTTTTTAAAATAATTAATTACTCTATAAATTATGTAATAATAATAGTTATTAATAGTGTCAATGGGTTGCCATAAATTTTTTACGAGCAATTTTTTTAATATATATATACTGTATATAAAAAACAATTAATTTTACAATCAATGTATAAAATTAGTTTTAATCGTCTAAATCGTCATCACTTTCATCCGTACTATTAACCAAATCTGAGTCTTCAACCGCACTGTCTTCGTCTTTGTTTACCTCTTCCTCGTCTTCAGAGATGTCCCATTGCGGGTGACTTTCTATTTGTTTTGGCGCTTCCTTTACGTCAAGCTATAAGTGATTGGAAAAAATATTTTTATTACAAAAATCAGTGGTCGAACCAAATGATAATTTTTTTCTCAATAAAAAAACTGAAGAAACAGTGAACACTTACTTTGATAATCTTAGAGATATCGAAATCGACATAAGAATCGCTTCGAACGATCACAGAATAGGTGTATTGTCCTGGTTTTGATGGCGCCGTAAACTTAAGTTCGACGTCTTCTTTCTCGACCAGATTTGTCATTAAATATGGAACAGTTATAAGAGCTTTTCGTTTTTTATCCGCCAAATATATCCACCAATATTCTTGTTTGTCTTCAGGAAAGTATGGACAGTGAACAGAATGCGATTGTTTTGACTTTCCTTCCAACACTTCCTTCTTTTTCGATACATTACTCTGGAAGTCATCCCAATTGTCATCATCTTCTGGTTCGCTAACGTCCTGCTCCTGTGCTTTAACCTGTTTATTATTGTCGGATTCTTCACCTTCTGAATCACTTTCATCCGATCCTTTATCACTTCTATCCTCATCACTCTCTTCGTCTTCTTTCTTAGTTTTCTGTGAGTTCTTGACGGCGGCTAATGCCTGGCTATTGTTGGCTTCTGTGGTCTCCTTATTTTGGCTCTGATTTTGTGGTTTCTTCTTCACAATCTTCTGTGGTTTCTTGCTTTTGGTTCCTTTTCCTCCCTTTTTCTTCCCTTTTGTTTGCTTTTCCCAGGCTTTAGGTTTCTTTGTCTCGTTGTTACCGACTTTGCCATCGGTGTCACCCAACAGTAGATTTTCTTTTTCATCAAACTCTTCTTCATTATCGATAGAACTTTTCTCTTCGATTAACTCTTTGTCAAATAAAACAGACATATTCTGTCGACAGAGTGTCACAGTGACGGTAACAATAGCGCCGGCAGTTATATTTCCAGCGTCTTCGTCGTCAAGTACTTCAGATCGGACATCAATCTCAAGCAAAGGCATCTTCGAGACGACATTCATAACATCATCGTATTGTTCATCTGAAAGATTCCTTAACATCGATCTTCGTTCATCTGATTTCATGGCTGCCAATTGCCGAATACTTCGGACATTCCTCTTACGTGTTGTAAAATGTCTTAACATATCTTCGCCAATGTTTGGCAACTGTAACAATGAGTTCTTGGAGTCCCAGAGAGCCTGAACTATCAGAGCACTCAATTTCATAGCGTTCTCCAATGTATCCAAATTGGGTATTCTTGCAATACGACCGGCCAGTGCCAGCATTGTTAACTGTGACACACACTGAACAAACTCTTGTAAAAGATATGGACCTTTGGACACAATATATATTTTGTCGATCTCTAGCGAATTGGGTGGTAAATTCATACGACTCAGATGAGCGTGAAGAAGGGCACGAGCTTTGATACTATAAGTGAAACAAAGTGGCCGTTCCTTGTTTTTCTCGCCCAAATTGGGCAACATTTTCATCAATTGTGGCACTTCTTCATTATCTGACGGCCGTTCGATGACTTCGCTGTTATGATTGCGTTCAAACTCAAGACTGGCCGCCAAAACCATTAGCACTCTTTTGAGTATCATTTGAGGTGTTTTGTGAATAAAATAATAGTAAAGTTGTGTCGTGTCTAACAGCACCTGATCGCCGCCGTATTTGACGGAACGGTACCACCAAATACCGACAGCAACAGGCAATGCAATCATAAAGACGAGCGCATATAAGCCGAGCACAAGAAAAGAGTTTTCCTTCTCGACAATCCAAGAGGGAAGTGCTATACCAAAAGACATAGCTCCGGGACCATCGGGATTGCCATATGTTTCCCAGTTTTTGCGCGCTTCCTCATCCGTAAGCGCCGCATATGCTTTGGCTATCTTCAAAAATTTCTTCTCATCACCGGTTTCTTTGTCCGGATGGTAGATAAGACTCAGTCGACGATAGGCTTTCTTAATCTCTGAGGTCGACGAACCCTTTGATTCAATCAAATAATTAGTTAATAATTAATATTAAAATATTTCTTTCATTTTATTTTTCTGCGAACCGGATCAATCTGTAAAATCTCAAACGGATCCCAATTGATATAGTCATTGGTCAGATGTCCCACTTTGTAAGCGCAGACAAACAGTGCTAACCATCCAAAGATTAACAGTAGTTTGCTGTCAAAAACAAAGACACAAAAGATTAATCACATGAGTTGATCACAACAATAACAAGTGATCTCTTAAATGGTTGACTGAATGAATACAATACATGATTCTGTTCTTGATTTTGAGGAAGGGTTCCTTATTATTCAGATAACTCTGCTTATGAGCGCATTGTTCGCAATGACACTGCTTTCTGTCCTTCTTGTTGTCATCTGATCCATCAATATATATATATAAAGATATATCAATTCAAATGGTTAGCAAATTTTATTGTTTCAATAAATATATTTAAATTTAATTTATTATCTAATGTATTGATAAATGGCCTAATAATTAGCTAATAATAAGCTATTATTTATATAGTCTATCAAATCAATGGTATTAATTGATTGTCAATAAAACTAATAAATATATGATAAGTAAATTTAAATATCATATTATATGTGAATTGATATCCTATTACCAGAAAAATCTCATATAATATATATATATATATAAAAGCAATTAATTTTTTTTCAGGGATTATATTAATTGTAATAAAACTAATTCACTAACTGTTAGCCAAAAAACATATGCAAAACAATTAATAAAATAAAATAATTTAACAAAAATATTTTAAATGCTTTGAATGTATGAATGAATGCATGCATTAATAGTACACGTAATCATCGCAACCATACATCAGCTAAATACACATTTTGACAACACATGACACGACTGTCCCTCTAATGTCAAAATCTAACCTTTTTTCGGTGACTTTGGCCAGAAATAGTAAGTACAGGGAATGACAACCAGTGCCAGAAATGATAGCAAAAAGTAGAAGAAAGTGCCGCCACTTTCGTCGTACTGAAACTTGGATCCGGCCATTGCTTTAGTTGACGGCACCGATAGCTCACATATACACCAACAACAAAAAACACTGGTATTACTGTAATAATATTATTACACAACACAACACTGTAGACACATAAACCAGTGATATATGTGTTAGAGTACAGCCAGTCATGTATAGAGTGAGGCACTGGATATGTCTAAACAAACCGTTGGCTTGTATTGAGAGAGAGAGAGAGAGAGAGAGAGAGAGAGAGAGAGAGAGAGATAGAGAGAGAGCACTGGTATGTGAGAAATATGCGGTTCATTTGAATCAAATAAATTAAGAGAAAGACGGAAAACGAAGTTTTGTTTTATTTAATTAATTAAAAAATTAATTAAAATTTCTAAAAACTTAATTGAAATGTATGTTTGTGTGACAAACATATATTTAAATGTTTTCATTTATTTTTTATTTTTTTTTATTTGTGTCAATAAATACTAATGGTTTGGTTATTAAAATTGTGATGAATTGAAACCACAGATTATATTATGTGGTTATTCTTCGAGAAACAATGAGGTAATATCGATAATATCGTCTGAAGACATTGTGGTCATATCGTCTGATAACGGAGGTGTATAGCCATCGTCATCGTCAATATTGTCGAAACTATAGGACAAGTTGGGGAGTCGGGTGAGGACGTGGCCACGGATGGCTTCCCACATATTGTCAATTGTTCTGTCAATCTCTTCCTCGTCATTGTCGCCGATATTCAACAGTGTTTGCAACAGTTCTTCTTGTTTTTCTCTTTGTTGTTGCGCTTCAATGAGTTTGGTCTGCAATTCACTGACAATTGTCTCATAGTTGCCGACGAGTTCACAGACAGCGCCAATCATTTTCAGACGTAAACCGGAAATCTGGTTGAAGTCATCATCGGTGCGAATGTTGTGCCGAATGCTTGTCATTGTCTGCCGACAAACGGGACAATTGTCGTGTTTTGATGTCCACGTCAACAGACATCTCAGACAAAATTCGTGTCCACAGTCTGTTAGTCGACACTTGTCTTCGATCGGCAACAAACATATGCAACAAATTGTCGTATCGGTAGTTATGGTAGAGTCAGACATGTATTGTTTTTTTAAAATTTGGTTATTAATATGCAATTTACTGTTAATTACTGTTTACTTTATTTATTTTATATTTAATTTGTAAATAATTTAATTAATTAAATTTTGAAATTACTTTGAGATTTAAATCGCGATATTAATAGTAATTATTGTGCATTTGATTAATATATTATATAATTTGGAAAAATAATTGCAATATATTAATACAGTATTAAGAATATAAGTTACAATATAAACATAAAAAATTATGTTTATGTTAAATTGTTTCTAACTGTAAATTTGACATGTATATTGAAATATACTAAATTTATCAAGGTCCTTATAGCTATAAAGTTTTTAAAAAATATATATATATTTGTAAACATTATTAAACAGTGATATATGGCATATGACATAAAAATAATATATATCATATTTATTGCAAAATATACAGTAATAATAATTATTAGAATTTAAAATAATGCATTTTAATAAAGTAAATATTATAAATAATACTTTATTTAATTTATTTAATAATAACATGTATTATAGTAAGATTATTTGCTAATTATATTTTTTCTAACTCTATTTATAAATATTTTACTAGTTTTACCCGCGCAACATGTATAGTATTGCATACTCTTACTAATTGCTTAACAAAATTCTTTATAATGAGACCTATAGATATACATATACAATAGTCAACTACAATTATAATTCTGATTATAAATGACTATTTTGCTATATTTATGCTATCCATATAAACGTCTATAAAAAAAGTTCGCGCTATTAAAAATTGATGATTTTTTTGCTATAATGTTGTATACATGTACAGTTACAATATATGTAAAAATAAATTTACGCAATCAAGAGAAACGTCTTTGAAACTGTTAAGCAATATTAAAATTTTTTAGTTAAAATGTAGAATACATATGTAGTTAAAATCTAAGTAAAAATAAATTTATGCTATCCATATAAACGTCTATAAAAAAAGTTCGCGCTATTAAAAATTAATGATTTTTTTGTATAATGTTGTATACATGTAAAGTTACAATATATGTAAAAATAAATTTACGCAATCATAAAAAACGTCTTTGAAACTGTTAAGCAATATTAGAATTTTTATTTTTTTAGTTAGATTGTAGAATACATATGTAGTTAAAATCTAAGTAAAAATAAATTTACGCAATCAAGAGAAACGTCTTTGAAACTGTTAAGCAATATTAGAATTTTTTAGTTAAAATGTAGAATACATATGTAGTTAAAATCTAAGTAAAAATAAATTTATGCTATCCATATAAACGTCTATAAAAAAAGTTCGCGCTATTAAAAATTAATGATTTTTTTGTATAATGTTGTATACATGTAAAGTTACAATATATGTAAAAATAAATTTACGCAATCATAAAAAACGTCTGAAACTGTTAAGCAATATTAGAATTTTTATTTTTTTAGTTAGATTGTAGAATACATATGTAGTTAAAATCTAAGTAAAAATAAATTTACGCAATCAAGAGAAACGTCTTTGAAACTGTTAAGCAATATTAGAATTTTTTAGTTAAAATGTAGAATACATATGTAGTTAAAATCTAAGTAAAAATAAATTTATGCTATCCATATAAACGTCTATAAAAAAAGTTCGCGCTATTAAAAATTAATGATTTTTTTGTATAATGTATACATGTAAAGTTACAATATATGTAAAAATAAATTTACGCAATCATAAAAAACGTCTTTGAAACTGTTAAGCAATATATTAGAATTTTTAGTTAAAATTTTTTAGTTAGATTGTAGAATACATATGTAGTTAAAATCTAAGTAAAAATAAATTTATACTATCCATAAAAACATCTATAAAAAAAGTTCGCGCTATTAAAAATTGATGATTTTTTGGTATAATGTTGTTTACATATACAGTTACAATATATGTAAAAATAAATTTACGCAATCAAGAGAAACGTCTTTAAAACTGCTTATCAATATTTATAATTTTTTATTTTTAGTTATATTGTATAATTCTTATGTAGTTACAATATAATGGAAAATAAATTTATGCTATCAATAAAATCGTCAATAAAAAAAGTTCGCGCTATTAAAATTTGATGATTTTTTAGTATAATGTTGTTTACATATACAGTTACAATATATGTAAAAATAAATTTACGCAATCAAGAGAAACGTCTTTAAAACTGTTATCAATATTTTTAATTTTTTATTTTTAGTTATATTGTATAATTCATATGTAGTTACAATATAATGGAAAATAAATTTATGCTATCAAAAGAAACGTCTTTAAAACTGCTCTCGGATTCAAGTCTTATACTTCTTTCTTCCTGTGTCTCATTCATTCGTCTATGTGTTACACGTAAATTCTCGGATTCAAGTCTCAAATTTCTTTCTTCTTGTGTCTCATTCATTCGTCTTTGTGTTACGCGTAGAGTATCGGTTTCAAGTCTCAAATTTCTTTCTTCTTGTGTCTCATTCATTCGTCTTTGTGTTACGCGTAGAGTATCGGTTTCAAGTCTCAAATTTCTTTCTTCTTGTGTCTCATTCATTCGTCTTTGTGTTACGCGTAGAGTATCGGTTTCAAGTCTCAAATTTCTTTCTTCTTGTGTCTCATTCATTCGTCTTTGTGTTACGCGTAGAGTATCGGTTTCAAGTCTCAAATTTCTTTCTTCTTGTGTCTCATTTAATCGACAGTCAATATTTCGTAAACGATTCGATTTTAGTCGCCGTTCTCTTTCCATTTGAGATTCATTCAACCTTCTATTTGTGTCGCGTTGTCTATTGGCTTCAAGTCTTTTCTCTCTTTCTTCTGTTGTTTCCATTAATCTTCTTAATTTACTCGGTGTCACATTGTATTCCATAGGAAATTGGCTGATGTTTGTAAGTGAAATGTCAGTCAATGACGCTTCCAACTGATCCAGATTTGGTTCCATTATGTAAACACTTGTTTAAACGTTATTCAAAAAAATCCTTATATCTTTATCTTATGTTATAATAGGAAAAATTTATCAAAATTAAATAGTTTAAGTATACTTCTCTTATAAAATAAATCCAAATGTCCAATTGATTCCTCGAAGGTAAGGCAAATGATAGCAATATTGATGAAAATAGCAAATGAAAACAAATTTGTAGTCAAAATGAAAACAAAGTGATATTTAAATTTATATTTCACGCGTTTATTAAATATTTATTAAATTACGCGATTATTAAATATTTATTAAATCACGCGATTTATTAAAATTGTTATGTATTTAATGATAAATAATAAATAAACAAATTATTTTTCTCGTGCAATAATTAAATTAATACAATTTAAAAAATATATAATTTTTGAAAAAATTGAAAATTTTTGCATTTGAGAAAATTTTACAAAAATTTAGCACAGGTAGCTAACCTCCCGGTGCCCTATGATTCATATAATATAGTAAAATGTAATTCCACAATACCTGCCTCTTTGTCCTCAAAATCTACTTGACCTCAATAATCATTTAAAATTTCCCATAGAAATAACATTGCTTTCAATAAAAAATGAAAATAAAACAATACATTTTTACATTTGAATTAAAATATGGTTGTTGATGAAATGTGCACGCATACAGACAGACAGACAGACAGACAAACAAACAGACAAAACAAATGTCTTAAAATGTTATCTTGATAAGTATACTTTATGTTTGTAGACAAATAATTTTCATTATATTATAAAAAATTAATTTGCATAAAAGTTTTAATTATTATTTTATAGTAATATTTTATTTATTTATTTAATTTGCAAAAAAATAATAATTTCGATTTCCATTAAAACTATAAAACTTAAATTGAGTAAATTAAGTCAATGTTAATAAAATAGAAATTTAATTTATTTATAATTATACAGTATATTTACTATATTATTATTATTACAGTAATATAATTATAAAGTTATATTTATAATTTTTATTAATATTTATGCATATTCATTTTCATCATGTATTTTAAATAAATTAAAATATAATTAAACTTTAAATATATATTATTAGAAACATTATTATTTATTAATGATTGTGATTTAATTATGGAAATAAAAATCTTTTTTTTTTTTATTTATATAAATAAATGACAACTTTTGYTATACATATATAAAGCATTAAACAACTCTTTATTTATTAAAGTATTTATTTTTAAATACTCTTTTTATTTTTCATTGAATGAAATTGAGTTTTAATTTATGTTAACATATTTTGTTATTATAAATATTTAGACTCTTGTCTCATATCGTTATATTTATTTGTCTTTTTGTTTTATTGTATTTTTATGTTTTATATAACTTTTTTAATATGTCACTTAAAAAATGATATAATTAGCATTGCATAAAATTTGGTTGGTTTTAATTTTTATGTAAATTTTTGCTCTAATTTTATTGTATTTATATATTAAGTAATATTTATTTTGTATATTTTTAGTGTAGACATAACAATAAAAAAATTGATAATTGTTTAAATTTTATATTAATCTAATATCATAATTTTTTACATCTAAAATGTAAAATACATATAAATTAAAAGTTATTATTATTATTTTATTTTTATTTCAAATAAAATAAATAAAATATTTTAGGTGTAGCTTATTATATCTTACATTAATTATATTTATTAATTATTATTTACCGTGACTTTAATATTAAACAATTAATGCAAACAACATAAACTTTGATAATTATAAATGTAAAAATCATTAAATGATGATTTGCTTAAAAAATGATATATGAAAATATTTTTAAAAATATTATAACGATTAGTCATAATTGTCATTAATAATTAATACATTTTTATTGCCAAGTGTTTACTATTGACATATTTATTTTAAAGCTATGAAAAAATATATTTAATTTATTATTGCAACCTTTTATGGTTATATAATATTTATTTTGTAGACAGTCTATCATAATTTATTTTTTTGTTAACTTTATTTTAATAAATGTTTATAAAATGTTATATAAGAATCCAATTGAAAAAATGTATAGTATTTATCTATATATAAAAAAATAACTAAAAATAATTTCTAACTTTACAAAACTTTACAATTTAGTGCAAACTTTTTACGAAAATATTTATATAAATTAAAATTCATATATATTGTACATTATATAAAAAAAATTATAATTGTATTAACATTTATTTAATATATTGACTCATAGTATTCTCCAAAAAAAATAATTAATAAAAAATATTTCAACAATTAATCCAATCCAAGCAAATACTTGTCCCACAATAGATCACATTCAGTGTGTTTGAAGGCCATACCAAATGGTGATATCTCAGGTTTCTCTTCATTACCAATCTCTAAGTAAGGCATCACTATATTGTCACCGATTGACCAATAAGACGGCCATTTGACGCCACGTTGAGCTGTCGGCTCACTATTGATATACAAAATGAGAAAAAAATTAACTCAAGACTGTTATTACAAAAATTAATGGACAAACAAACCCATGCTTTGCAAAGTCAGTTATAAAACGTATCATTTGATCGGATATCTCGCGCTCTCTGTCCACATATTCGTCGGGTTGAGTAAATGGCTGACCAAACATCGGAAATATATCGTTTGTGTGACAAACACCCATCCATTTTGAACAGAAAAAGTTTGTCTGTTGTTTGGCATTAAAGTAATATTGGTATACCTTTGCGCGGCCATTGCTATTGGCGTACACCTGTTTGGCAAACTCTATGGTCGGACAAGTCAAATAATAGTCACCGACGGCCACACCCATCACGCGTAGTATATCATCGGACGAATGGTTATCAGATAGACTGCCGTAATAAAGTCGTGACACATCTTTGCCATCAATGCGACGTTCAGAGCAGAGATCAGAAGTTATAGCTGTCAGTTCATCGACGGCTTCATCGTATGTAAAATTATAGGGATTTTGTGGATGAAATTTGATTGGATCAGTTAGCCAAGTAAGAAGAAATGATCCCTCGTCCTGGACAGTGGACACTATTAAATCAACGTCTCGTTTGTAATCTCCTGATAGTAACATCTCTATGGGTCGAGTGGGAAGAAAGTGTCCGTCAACGACAACCAAATTAAATACTTTGACCACACCATCCATCAGATCGACGTTATCAGTGATGGCCACCAGTTTGTCGGCATCTACTGAACGCAGACAATCCATGACTTCTGGCGAAAAACGATTATCTTTGGCTTCACAGCCAACTAGTTTAGCTCCGCGAAGCCATCTTTTGATGTGATCTTCGGGTTTATCGGATGAATAATTATATATATGTGCCCCCGAAGCTACTATAGCTCTGCGAAATAGATTACGAGATTGTGGGCTAATTATATGAAGAGATGTACTCCAACCACCTGCGCTCTCTCCAAATATGGTTATCCGATCGGGATCTCCGCCAAAATAACGTATATTATCGCGAACCCATTCCAGTGCCAATGACTGATCCCAGAGACCTACATTTCCCGGAGCCTCATCAGTGCCGGCATATAAAAAGCCTAATGTATTAACTCTGTGATGAAAATTATTCATTTTGGAGTTTAAGCTTTTATTATATTTATTATATTATAATAGATTATTTACCGGTAATTTAGTGACACTAAAATCACTTCTCCTTTTGCTGCCAAAGCATCGCCGTGATAGTAGACCTCCGAAGCCGAACCGACCAGTAGGCCTCCGCCGTGGATCCATACCATTACGGGCAAAAGATCGTCGTTGGTTGGCGGCGCCCATATATTAAGATATAGACAATCTTCTGAATAGTTACGATTGGCCAGATAGTGATCTATTTCGAACATTTGACCATTTTGCCGACACGCCGGTGAAAAGTCGAATGCCTCTATTGGATCGGTGCGCGGTTTGGGTGGTAAAGGTCTACGGAAGCGCAACGGACCGACAGGAGGCTGAGCGTAGGGAATGCCTCGAAAAACGTTAAGCTCTTTTCCGAGTACTGTCTCCCGTTTGCCGGTAATAAAGCCATCCTTGAGTCGTACTGAGACTTCTTCTGCAGCGCAGAGTCCGGATAATAGCCAAAGCACTAGTAGTTGCCGAGACATATCGATTGTGCCTGTATTTGATGACAACCGCGACTGCTGTGATGTGCCTCTCCTGAACTGATCTGCACTGAAGGACATACAGTTGTATAACAAGTGGCGCTTAACTAAACTTGTTATGCATATCATTGTTTATTTAGCAACAAAACACTTTTGGCGTCACACTCGCTGTGTTTCTGAAGGACAGTCCGATCGTTGGCCTCATTGCTATCAATTACTGTAGACATATGTTTATTAACACTACTAAACCCACAAATAGATTATATATTTGTCAGAAAAGAGGACAATGATTCAATAGTCTATCCCTAATCCTGTTTACTGGTGACCATTTGATGGTAACAAATAACCTCTGAGAGGTCTCGACCCCTACGGTCAAATTATTTGACCAAAAGTTTTTTCCCCAATTTTTTATGTTTAAGTTATTTAATGTCTTAACACAAGAAAAGCCTAATGTTGAACGGGAAGTGATCCCATTGGAAGACATAATATAATTTTCTTACATAACATCTATAGTAAATTATACAATTTTTTGTGTTAATGATTTTATTTGCTAAATAAGCTTAATAATAATAATATTATTAGATTAATTATTTTAGTTATATGATAAATATTTTTTCCACAATAATAATTGTTAATTAATATAATTTTCAACTTAAAAAACTTTTTTAGACAAATATTTTTGTTTGTTGTTGAAAAAATTACACCCTTTGGCACTAAAATAGCCTAATTTATAATAATAATTAGTTTGTACTGTATTTAAATTTTAATTTTAATTTTAATCTGAATTTTCCAAATACTGGCGCCACAAGAGTTGACACTCTGTACGCTTGTGGTCCAAACCAAAGTGGGTGCCGTCAACTGTTACTTTCACATAAGGCCTCACCACCTGTCCGGCGATTGTCCAGTAGGCCGGCCAGCGGACACCCATTTGTACGGTTGGCTCTCTAATAAAGAAATATTACATTAATTAATAGTTATATAATTTAACTTATATTAGGTCAACCCGTGTTTGGCAAAGTCCGTAATAAAGCTCATCATTTGTCGGGATATCTCTTTTTCGCGATCAGTCGATTCCTGCACTAATGGTATGCCAAACATCGGGATCAAGTCGTTGGCCTGACACGAGCCCATCCACGACGAACACAAAAAATTGTCACGTGTTTTGGCCCAATACGCAAATTCATAGACATTTATACGACCGTCGCTGTGAGCGTAAACTTCTCGCGCAAATTCCAGTGTAGGACACGTGAAGTAATAGTCACCAATTGCTATACCTATCGTACGGCGCAAAGTGTCAAAACCGTTTTGATCCGAAAGTAATGCAAAGTAATGTTTGGCCACTTGTTGGCCGTCGACCCAACCGTCAATCGACACTAAACTGGCTATATTTGTCAATTCATTTACTGCCTCTTTGTGTGTGTAATTGTAGGGTTGTTTGGCGTGAAAGTATCGAAACGAGTAAAGCAATTGCAAAATGAATGATCCCTCGTCTTCAGCGGTCGACACAAGCAGATCGAGATCTGCCGGCACATCGGCCAACAATTTGGACGGTATTTGCGGCAGAAAGTGGCCGTCAACTACAACAAGATAGAAGAGCTTTATGTTTCGGACATTGATGCCGTCAATCGATGGAATTGAAGCCAATGTCTCGGCGTCGGTGTCTCTCAAACAAGACATAATTTCCGGTGTAAACTCTGTTGCATTCTGACCACAACCTATTAGTTCAGCGCCGTATAGCCACAGATCACGGAACTCTTCGGGCGAACCATCAATGAAATGATCAAAGTATGCGCCCGAAGCCAGTATAGCTCTTTTGAACAGATGATGTGATTGAGGACTCAACACGTGCAACGATGCACTCCATGCACCGGCATTTTCACCAAATATGGTGATCCGATTGGGATCGCCACCAAAGTAACGAATATTATCGCGCACCCACTCTAAGGCCAATGTCTGATCCCAAAGACCTACATTTCCCGGTGCGTCGTCAGTGGCGGCAAACAAAAAACCAAATGTAGAGAGACTTAGAGATATTGTGATAATAGTATATATTTAGTTGTTTTGTTATAAATAAATTAAATTCGTATCTATTGTACAGTATTTACCGATAGTTAGCCGACACAAACACAACATCCCCGAGCGCTACTAATTCTTTGGCATCATAGGCACCCTCTGATGTACTACCGGTCAACAGTGCCCCGCCGTGTATCCAAAATACAACGGCTTTCAAGTTATCTTCGCTAACCATCGAGTCCTTTGACCAAACATTCAGATAAAGACAGTCTTCGCTGAAATCGTTGCGAGAAAGTCCTGCGTGTGCTTCAAGAAAGCCTGTCATCTGATAACACGTTTTACCGAATGTCAACGCATTTCTCTTATTTGTCCACTTCTTTGTCGGCACCGGACGTCTAAATCTGAGTTCACCAACAGGTGGTTCTCCATAGGGAATGCCACGAAATACATGAACTTCAGTTCCATCGGCCGATTGCTCTTTGCGACCAATGAGCTGACCATTCGGTGTGTACACCGACACAGTGTCGGGATCGACGGCGACGACCGACACATATAATAATAATAAAAGAAAACTGATGGCCGACGAGATATACATTGATTTTTTTTTGTATTAATAGTTTGTATGAGTTGTCAGGTAATAAAGTAATTAACCAATTAATATGATAATAATTATTTTATTATTTTCTTATAAAAGATTTAGTGTTTTAGATTTACTATCAGTTACTTTATTTTATTATTTAAAATTCAAAAGTATATATAATAAATTTATAAAATCTTTTAAATTATGTCAAATACTATTTTTTGTAATTTAATTGTAAATATTTATTATTTAGGATGTAAACTGACTTATTTGTGATTTAAATAGTTATAAAAACTGTTATATTTTATAACTGAACATATTAACACAACAATATTGATAGTAGATTAAAAAAAATGCAATATATTTTTATATTACTCTACAGATATATTATATTAGGTTTTTATGTACTATATATTACTATACATTATTAATACTATTATATAATTTTAATGATAATTTTTAATTGCATTCAAACAGAAAGAAAGAAAGAGAGAGAGAGAAAAAAAATCTTTTAGTAATATATAATCATTTACTGTATACTGATTTAAGCGGTATATTATTATTGACTTAAATAAGTTTTTCAATAAACTTTATAATATACAGTATATTAATAGAATGTTGAAAATTGTAATAAAATACAATTTAAATTACTGTCGATTATTTTTTATTACTACTATAAAAAAAATTCAATTTTTGATATTTTAAAATAAATTGCACATATATTACACATTACAACTATTTGATATATTTTGATCGTAAAATATGATTTACAAATAGATATGGATTAACTCAAAATAGATAAATTTTTAAAAATTCCATAATTTACTTTTGTTATTTACAATAAAATATTTTTTTGTTTTTTTTATTTCTATGTCAATTATAATATATTTATAAAATTTTATAGTATTGATTTTGTTACATAAGTTAAACTTTCGTTATAATATCATATTTATGGCATTAACACATAATGTAAGTCATAGTTTTTTTTAAAAAATGATAATAATTTCATTTTTATGTATACAGTAAATAAACTTTTGATTGACATTTATGTATTTAAGAATTAAAAGTCAAATATTTTTTTCAAAAAAAATAAAACAAAAAATTATTTAAAAAACAAATATTGACTTTAATATAAAATTAAAATAATTAATGACTTCATGAGTGCATCATTTAAACGTATAATTCATTGATAATAATTTTATTATATCTTTCAGATAATAGATAATCTAATATACACTTCAATCAATTTGAATATCACATTTCATATATACGATATAATATTAAATCATTAATAATATATGTTATTTTGCTTTTTTAATATATTGTTAATATTTAAACCTTTAAATTGCAGATGTTTTTACTGTATATAATAAAAATATTGTTTAAACTTTTACTTTGATTTAGGTTTTATTATCATTTGATTGAGTATTAAATCTATCACTAAAGTAAACGAACCTTTAATTTATTATATTTATACAATCAATTGAAAAAACAACAAAAAATTTACAGTATATTTAAGCTTATATTCATAACAATTTAGACTCATATCTAAATGATTGCTGTTATAAAAGTAATAAAAAATCATATAAATTTTATTACATAAAACATTACTTAATATTACAAAAACGATTAACTTGTTTAGATTTAAATGATTGTATTGTTTAATATTTAGTAGAGAAACAATATTTTTTTGATGAAACTCGTCTTTAAAAAAAATATTTAAATTTTTTTAGTTATTTGATTGTCTTTAGACAGAAAATAGATTTTTATGAACAAAACTAATTAATTTAAAAATTTAGTTTAATAAACAAATTTTTAATATTACTTTACTTAATTATTTAGTTTACAAATAAAAATATTTTTTAATATTAAATAATTTTACAATCAATAATTTATTTGTTTGAAATTGATAATTAATATTTATATTTTAATGTAAAAAAAATCTAAATACCTGTAATGTTATCATATAGTATAATATTTTTTAAATTAATAATTAACATCCAATAATATTAAGTGAATTAATATTTAAATATTTTGATCAATTAAACTAAATATAATAGTAAGAAAATTTGCTACTGATATGATCAATGCCAACAGTTATCTATTAGTAATAGTAATTGAAAAAAAGTTTAATAAAAAAATTAATTTAAAAACTTATTAACCCATCATTAAATACAAAATTTAATACTAAATAATGTTAACATTTATTTATTTAAATTAATTATTAGTTAGATGATATAAATTTTGATTTTATTTTTAAAACTTAAAAATACAATAGTCTATTCAATATTCAATATATATTTAGTGCAATTTTATTTTTGTGAATGTTATAAAACAAACATTTATTGTTTTAATTTAATTCATTTATTTACTCATTTGGAGATTCATTAAAAGTATAATTTACAGAGATTTAGGAAAGTGATAGTGAATTTATATATACTGAATATATTTTTAAAAATTTTATAAACAAACCATAAAATTTTGTTTTTTATTTATAATAAAAAGTAATATGGGGTTAATTATTATTATAGTAAAATTTTTCCCAAAATTTTATTTGTTATTAAAATCATAAAATTTCATAATTAGTCTATTATAAAAATTGAAATAATTTTCAAAATTATAATTTAATTATGATTTAATAATAAATGGAAATCTTATTGTTTAAATTTAATTTTTGATTATAATTATTGATAAAAACAAAAGTTATTTAAATAAGACAATGTACCCTATTATATAAAATTTTAATAAAAATTAAATTTTTAAAATAATATAAATATAAAATTATTATTATTATTATTATTATTATTATTGCATTGTATATTCTACTATTTTTCAATAAAATATTTGTATTATTTGAGCAATTTTGTGAAAATTAATATTCAAAATTTTAATAATAATTTATTATGAATCTTTTAAAAAATAAAATAAAAAACAATTTGCTTATATGTAAATCAAATACAATAGTTTTATTCAATAACAAATAGCATAATTAGACTATACTGCACAGTACTGTAATACACTGTATTTTATTTAGTACTAAATAATATTGTTTAATACAATGTCAATTAACCGTAAATTTTAAACAAAGTGATGGATCGCTCAAACAAAATAATATAAATGATAAATCATTATAAGTTATTATTTTTGTTGTTAAAGCAATGGTAATAAATACAATATTATATTCACAATAAAATTAATTTATATAAGTATATAACAAAGATTAAAAACCTATATATATATATACTTTGTGTATATATATATATGACTGTAATAAAATTTTTAATTAAATACGTGATACTAGCCATAAAACTAGTATTCATTGAATAATTAAAATATTTTTTCTATTTAGTTTTTAATATATTAAATTAATTCCAAAATTATTTATAATTAAATACAATATGGTTAAGTAAATGCTATTTTAAGTTTTAATAATACGATTAAGTATTTTGAAAAACAAATGTTAATGACAATATAAAATAATGATAATCTAGTTTATTAGTGTTATTTAAAATTATTTATGAGTTTTTTGTATCCCAACTAAAAATAGTAAACATTTTTAAAAAACAATAAATTAAAGTGTTTTACTATAATATAAGAAAAAAGATTACAAAGTATAAAAAGTGTAACATTGGTTATAATTTTGAAACATGCAAAACAAAAACAATAAACAGAAATTAATAATAACTATAAAATGTCATTATTAAAATACAAAATTTCTCTGAGAAAAATAAATTATAATAACAAATAAAAAAATTTTGAAACAATAAATAGGAACAATTAAAAAGTCATACAGTTTTTAATAATCAAATCAAATAAAAATCTTATATAAATATCAGGAACTGAATCATAATTTAAAATATAGAGTATATATATAAAGTAATTGACAATTAAATCATTTTTTAAACAAAAGTCATCGGATATTATATAAAATGAGTTTTTTTTTGTTTTTTGAGGTTTTTATTTGTATATACACTATGTATTCATATTATTCTTATTCTTATTTGATGTTACAGTTAATTCACTTTTGTCTTCATTATGATTATATGATTATTATTATTATAATAATTATTATAATAAATTATTGTTTTTGTTTAATTTATTAAAATTATTGAAATGATAAACAAATAACTGTTTAACTAAACTAATGGTTTACTACTTTTACTACTACTTCATTAAACTATTAAAAACGATGAGAAACTAGTGTCTCAAATATTTAATGGTATTTAATAAAAACAAATTCACTTTCAAAGAAAATGATAATTCAGTTAAATGTCATAATTTTTATTGAGAAAGTTATATAATTTAGTTTAATATACAAGTTATATGAAATATTATGTGTTGTTTTAGTTTCCTATTTCTTATGTGTATCACTGAAACTCTCTCTCTCTCTCTCTCTCTCTCTCTCTCTCTCTCTCTCTCTCTGTCATTGAAGACAATAAAAAATAATTGAGTGTTTGAGAAATATAAAGACAAAAGCACTTGAAAACTGCTATATTATATGTTTTGCTAAAAAACTAATGTTTAATGTGATTAAAGTAAATTTATATTTTTTTCATCCGACAAACTTAATGATTACTTCCGACCAAAACAGTTGACTAATATTTTACAAACTATAATATTTAAATATCAGATACCAAACAAAAACATGTCATCTTATAATTTAAATCTAAATATTAATAATAAATAATATTTTTAATAATAAGTAGTTTTTTTCTAAAGCTTAAGCTTTTATTTAATAATTTTTGTTTAAAGTATATTTTAAATATTTTTAATAATATTGTTTAATGTGAATATTATGTTAAATATTCTCACATAAGTTCATAAGCATTTTTAATCATTTTTAATAAAAATCAATATAAAGTTATTAAATTTTGTAATTTATTTAATTGAAATATTAATATTATTTTAACATTAAAATTACTACAAAATTTAATTTAGAATACAAAGATTTAACATAATATTATTATTTTATTAATTAGTTTTTTATTACTATTTGTTAAAAAATATTAAGCTTTCGACAAAAATAATAATAATTAGTTTTAATTAAAGTATT